AAGTAATGTACCTTTGGTAATAGTTATTATTGAGAACACATTTGTATGATTAACTTTTTTATTTTTTGTTTTGAAGTGCATGTGTGAATTCTTGGAAAACGGTGACCCCCCCCCCCCCCATTCATGATATCCAAAACAGGGTGACCCCCTATTCGCAAAATCAAAAACAGGGTACCCCACCCCCACCCCCCTGATTCACCAACCCACCCCGGGTCCAAGTAACTGTCCGAACCCTAACATGCAAATCAATACAAATGTTGCTCACAGATCAGAACTACTGTGACACCTTTGACCAAAAGTTGTTTTATTAACAGGAACATACAGTAGTCATGTATATTTATTAACAACAGTAAAAACACCACATGATTTAATTTTAATTTTGTGTGAACAAATGGTTCTTGCAAAAATATTAACAATGTGTGACAGTGATATGTATGTTACCATGTATAACTCACATATACACAACCAAAATTACCAGAATTTAGTTCAGAGATGTCAAACACACACTGGAATTGAGGACATATTTTGTGCTTATGATACTCAGAATATATCATTTACACTTACCAGTTTTCTGACCAAAACGTCCCTGTTCACAGAGCATATCAATAATAGGACAATATTGTTCTCCATTACGATAACGTAAGGGTGTACCAGCTGGGAGATTCTTTCCGGTCAATCCTTGCTCTTGGCGTATACGCCAACCAACATCTAACCCTACATATTACGTAAAAAAACATAATTTATGGTAACTATAAATCAGTAGGATATTTAAATTATATAGCCAATTTTATTTCCTGGATTGAACAGTAAAAAATAAAAAATACCTGGTTTGATTTCAATGTTAATAGAGAACTGGTAAAATAGACATTAATATCTAACATGTTTCTATTGTTCTGAATACATTTACAGACTGTCATTTTATGATTTCAGACAAAATTGCCATCAAACTAATCAAAAGACAAAAAAAAAACACTTAACATACATGAATGGATTTACCTATGAGTATAAAACTTGTGTGTAAACTTTTCAACTGGACCAGACAATATGTATTAGTGAGGAGTAAAAAAACAAAATGGCTACTAGTCAGGCATTTTTGTATGAATTAAAACAAGCAACCTCACGGTCAAAATACATGTAGATTTACCATCTTTGTAGAGTGTTTTTCTCAAAAAAAAGTTGATATGTTCTGTATGATGAGATTAGCTAATATATGATTATTGTTCCCACAATGTCCTTGCCATATCATACCCCATACCTACTCAGTTGTGTGTATTAAGTGCTTACACTGAATTCACACAGTTTTTCAGGTTTGCGTCATTACATGGTGGACATATTTGAGGAAGTTCATAACTGGGTAAGTTGTTCTGACATGATTATACTAAGCTTTATTTGTGTACAGAATTATATTCTACGCAGTGTTTGTGATGTACATCGGCCATTCAAAGTGCACATGTCCAACTCGTCATTGCAAGTGTGCATTCACTAAATGCTATTCCAATGTGTTCTTTTTTTAGGACAGTGCAATGATTCCTAATGGTAGTGCATGATGAATTTGCCATTTTCTATGTTTATATGTTCATTATATGTGCTTGTGCCTATCTTAACTTTAACAATATTGGTAGTAATTGGAGTGATCAACATTCTACCAGTAGTACCCAGAAACCCAGGAGGTGTCGAGCACCTGGTGGATGATGCTTACAGCAAGTCTCAGAAGTATTGGGGCAGCCAATTTGCAAACTCGCTAGCGAATTGGCAAACTGCTTGGATTTTGACTAAACAGTTGGGTTTCGATTCTCACTGGCGCTGTCTTGTGGTCACGCCCACTCTGGCCGAATCTATATAACAGCAGGGGACGGTCGCCATACTTTAGGAGCTAATCAGCCACAGTTGAATGACGATTTCGCTTTCAAATATACCAGGGAAAGTGTTCTATGTGTAATGAGGTCTCTATTGAATTAGACAGATAAATACATGAACATAAACGTATGCACAGATTTAAAGTGAAAGTTACCAATAGCCTTGTACAAAATTTAATTAAACCCATGACCATTATGATGAACATTATCATCGTGGTTATTAGTGCATCTTGGCCAGTAGATTAGACTACGTCTTAACAAGTCTGTCTTTCATACTGAAGGTCACGGGTTCAAATCTCTCATTAGGGAAGTTGGAATTTTAATTCACTTAAAAAAGTTGTTGTGATAGTTTTTCTTTTATTTATATGAAGAGCTAATGTAATCAAATATCAAAATGTACCAGTAACTGATGAACATTACATAAAAAAGTGGCAGTATTTTGTTCAGCAGTTTTCTCATAAAAGATCACGAAAAAATTGGTAGAAGAATAGAAATGACAAGCAGCCTCTCGGCTGAGATGGCTCCACTGTTTGCAATGCACATTTCAATTATAGAACAGAAGATATCATTAGAAAATGAACAATATGAATAGTATCAATGCAATGGGACTTGCTGTTTTCAACAAAAATTCAAAAATATCATTTTTCACCATAAATGATTATGGTTTTTAACAAGAAGTCGAAAATATCACTTTTTACCAAAAATGACAAAAATATTCACCAAAATTAGAGAATTGACGATATCATTACAAAATGAACAAATTTGAGAGTGGTCCACATGTAGTACCTATATATGTAATATCAAAGCAATTGGACTTGTGGTTTTTAACAAGAAGTCGAAAATATCACTTTTTACCAAAAATGACAAAAATATTCACCAAAATTAGAGAATTAAAGATATCATTACAAAATGAACAAATCTGAGAGAGGTCCACATGTAGTACC